GAACTACCATTCTCACCACAACCACACACACAGATTTATAGGGGGCTAATCCTTTTTGCAAAGTCATAGAGATTTTTCTGTACATTTAACTCTGGATTAGGTGCCCTGAATATTTCAAACCTTGAGATTTTACAAGTATTTTGTTACTTTAAAAAAATTTTTTTCATTGATTTTAGAGAGAGAAAGGGAGGGGGCGGGGGGGCGGTCATCAATTTGTTGTTATATATGCATTCATTGGTTGATTCTTTTATGTGACCTAAACAGGGATTGAACCTCCGACTTTGGTATATCTGGAAGATGCTCTAACCAACTGAGCTACCTGGCCAGGGCCACACACTGTAATCTTTTGACCAATTTATATGTTTTGGGGACTAAACATCAATTTAATCGAATTCCACTGAGCCAAACCGGTTAGGGCGAATAATTCTAATTTAATAGTTTCATTTCACATAGGAGGAAAACCCATCAACTTGTCAAAATATGGCATTCTCAAATAGTTATGGTAAGACCAAAATGTTCATCAAGGTCAAAGAGAAGTAAAATCAATAATAATAAAGTATAATATGCTAATTAGACTGGACAGCCGAACGACCTTCTGGAGGAAGCTGCCATGGCAGGGGCTGAGACAGAGGCGGTTAGGGGTGCTCAGGCAGGCAGGAGAGCAGTTGGGGGCAATCAGGCAGGCAGGCAGAGTGGTTAGGGGTGATCAGGCAAGAAGGCGAGCAGTAAGGGGCGATCAAGCAGGCAGGCGAGCAGTAAGGGGTGATCAGGCAAGAAGGCAGAGGCAGTTAGGGGTGATCAGGCAGGCAGGCAGAGGCGTTTAGGGGAGATCAGGCAGGCAGGCGAGTGGTAAGGGGTGACCAGGCAGACAGGAGAGCAGTTAGGGGAGATCAGGCAGGCAGGTGAGCAGTTAGGGGCGATCAGGCAGGCAAGTGGTTAGGAGCCAGCGGTCCCGGATTGCAAGAGATGTGCGATTGCAGCAGTAAGACATCCCCTGAGAGGTCTCGGATTGTGAGAGGGTACAGGCCAGGCTGAGGGACAACCTCCACCCCTACCCCCCCGCACTAATTTCGTGCATCAGGCCTCTAGTATAATATATTTCCCTAAGCATTTATATCACTTCGTAAAGTTTGATTTTCAATGAAATATCTAATGTTCTCTTTCGAAATACTTAGCTATGGCCTGTAGTTTTCAGCAGTGTCCTCTTAATGTTACATTTAATTATAAAACTATAATTCACTCATTTTCAACATGCCAGTTCAGAGTAAAATATCTGCATTTCCAGGATTTTGTTGCAGTTATATATTTTTAAATAAAAAATTACAAAAACTTGATTTTATCCTAAAAAATTCAATGCACATTTTCTTTTTTTTTAATATATTTTTTATTGATTAAGATATTACATATGTGTCCCTGTCCCCACATCACCCTCCACCCCCCTCG